TCAGTAGAAAATTAATCCTGACTATTTGAAACTTCAAATGTAATATCACAAGTGTAGTACATATGTTGAATAACTGTATGAAAATGGAAGATTAGATAGAAAGCTTAATCAGTCATTCCTAGTTATCAGCTTATTGGTAAGAGTTAGTCATACAAACAACGTTTACAACTACTACAGAATAAGAGGATAAAAATCCATTGTCTGACGCTTTTAAAAGGTTGATGAGTATGATGAATCTAATAAGGGTAGTTCAAGAACCCTAATTTACAACCAAAACTTCGCCTTGAGTACCTCTGGAGCTAATGTGACTCTCAAGCCTGGATAAATGAAGAGGGTTGGAAGTGGGGTTAGCGATCCAATCCTGTAGAAATCCTTTTCATAATACCTTATATTTTTTTCATTATTATCACTCGGGACAAGCTTTAGATGTGACAACTGCGTCAACATAAAAATGGAACTCACTGATCAAACTCATCAAAGATTTGGTAATTGATCTGATGAACTAGGACACGTACCAATATTTGCTTGGACTGAAGGTTTTTGAGACATCGTTCAGATAAGTCTTAACTGCGACTCCTGAAATTTTTCCTGATTAGGCTGATATAAAAATGTTGGCGATTCTCGTAAAATTGACCCTTAAAAACAAAGAATATTTATGGGGAGTTTTAAACTACTGAAATTGACAGTAGTGAATTATGCCGGATAGATTTGACGTTCCCCTTCCAGAAAAATGTCATGATGTGTTGTTGATACTGATATGCCATTTTGCTTAACATGAGTGGAACTGGGTACTCACGAGTGAAGATTGATTTACGTAATCGACATATGCGTTTGCTGTATGTATATATATAGTTTTAGAAATTCAAGCCACCTGTGATGCATGTTTCATCCTCTAGAAATTATAGCTGTTCATTAATCAATCATGTGCATTTATCATTTTCCGACTTCTGATTGGCGCATTTTATAATTATTGTAATCAATTTGTTCTTAGTAGTTTTCTTATTTTTCACCAAAATCTTCATCACTTTATACTATTGTCAGATTCCTGAAGGTCTATATTGGAAACACTATGTTCGACTTTCTATGCTGTTTTAATGTTTGGTAAGCCAAAATGTATATTTTTAGACTTTTGGATGTATTGGATAATATATCTGATTTTCCACTGAAATTTGTTTTAATTTTAATATATTATATTGTGCTATACAGTCGGCTAGAAATAAGTTTTGAGAAACGAATGAGCTAAGGACACACACACTTCTATCGACGAGTTAAGTCATGTAACATAATACGTGATAATAAAGAACATCAGATTTTATTGAACAATTCTAGTGACAGTTTTCAATAAAACAGATATTCATAAATTAAAACCAATGTTACAAGTAAGGAAAAGTTGCGAAAACACTGAAGCAATTGAATTACGGGGATTGTAGCCTGTGATTGGTTATCTTTCTAGATTTTGTTCATTTCTTCTTATGCAATCGGTAGTACATCGATTGACTGTGACAGTTTTATAATCAACTCTGAAGCATTGCATAATTTCTCGGAGGTGATTGTGTATATGAGACTATGTATAGATTCTTGTGGGCTTGTCTGAGTCAGAGTAATCTACTTATATTGTACATGTTTGTCATTTCTCACTGATACGTGAAATGAATGTTAGTTACATCGACGGATTACTACTGGTTTGAATCAGTCACATTCTTTTCAACTTTATGTATAATCAAGATTTCTATTTATACTTCCTTTACTTATTGAATTTTTCTTCAGCATAATTAAAGTATACATCATACGTTATAATCGATATATCTAGTTCATAAAAAATATCTTGAAACTATGTAGTTGAACTTGTTTTGTTACTTTGATCTCAAGGTTGAATTCTGCTGCCAAAAAACAACTCAATCGTTTTTTCTAGAGTTGTTTAAACAAATGTTTTGTTAACTATTCAAAAATGATATCAATAATAAAAAAAGCGTATTAATTAGGCTAATTAACTTCAATCATTATTGTCAATAGAAAATAATGAAAAGATCAGAGATAGTTTTAATAAAGAAAACACACATTGTATATGTGAAGACCAATAAGGCAGGCAAATTAGTAGAATTGTAGATTTTGTATGAAATAAGTGATTATTTATACGGTTTTGTACACGTTCAGTTCAAATTACTGTAACTTAATTTATCAGTTTAAGTTTTCCTGAATTATGTGATTTTGTTGTTACCCTGTGACCAATACATTGTATGTTCTATTGAAAACGCACTTGTTAGCAGAAAATTTTCAGTGTTTATTGTAAACCTAATTTTTATTGAACGAACAAACCACCCAGTCTCTAATGATGGCGAATTCCTGCATTTGTATAAGTTTTCTCAGAGAAGGAAGCTTAGATGCAGATGATCGGGCTCGTCTATCCCACACACAACAAAAAAAGTAGATGAAGACAGACTAAATGACAGCTGTCGCCGTACTTGTAATTCTCAAGTCTCTACAATACAACATGCATCAACCTACATACACACTTGATTGACAAGTTCTATAACATGTAGTAATTGTCACATACGTCATCAGTATCGTCAGTAAACAAGGTACATCTGATGCACATGTTAAGACACGGATTAGCAAAGCAAGTGAAGTATTTCCACGATTGAACAATATCCGGTATTCAAAATAACTATCAACCAACACCGAAGTCATAATTTTCATTAGGATTGTTCAAACAGTTCTACTGTTTGGACCGGAAAAGTGTAGAATTTTGGAATCCATCATCCACAAGATGAATGTGTTTCTTAACGGTTGTCTACACAAAATAATCTGCATCCGTTGGCCCGACACCATCATATGAAAAAAGAGCTCAATGGAAAGTCAATTTTAATTATTTGAAACTACTTAGCAATGTTACAAATGTGTGTATGTTGAATAGTTGTGTGACAATGGAAAATTAAACAGAAATCCTAATCAGTTGTTCCTAGTCATTATCTCATTGGTAAAAGTCCATGTATTTGAAGTTGCAGAACTAACGTTTACACTTGTGACTAATCAATATTTAATATCTGAGTGAAAAATAATGACGTATAAGCAACAATAAATCCATCATTACAAAACTATCTCTTGCAAGAGGATGTGTACTTTGATAATGACTTTTTTTGAGAGTATGGACCGAATATCTCTGTGATCAATAGCGTCTGTTGTAATACTGATTGAATCAATGCAGTACGTCAAAGTAAACCTTATTGTTTAATTAAGAAGCGTTATTCAGGTTTGTTTAATCTAATAAATAATATTGTTTCCTGCTGAAATGAACATTATACGTTGCAGGGTTTTATTTATTAAGCGTACTTGACGATGGCTGCTTACTTAATTGTACACGCCGTATGTGCGACCTCATCCATTATCTTGTGTGAACAGTGCTTCTTACGTGAACACGTTTCAACTGCACTGGTCACGACCCTATAATGAAACTTGTTTCATTGATTAGCCGATCAAGCAACATTTAGTGTTCACAGCATTGACATGTAAATACTCTCGTATTGATAAACTGGTTTACCATGTGTGAATAAACAAGTCTACACAGGAGTAGGCTATCAATGAGTATTATGCCTAATGGTCGAAATGTAATAAATCGTCATTAAGACACACACGTTTTCATGATGATGTACTGAAGAGAGGATTGATTGTCAGACTATCGATAGCTGGTCACTTTATGAAATCACCGTATTTCGTGAACTAACTATAACTCAACAGTCTTCACAGCTACATACTAAAGAATATATTGAAACTTCATCAGTTGAGGTGTTAGGGACATGTGTTACGTATGCCTAACCACAGACTGCCTCGACAAGATATGTTTTGTGGCATAAGAGTAGGTTGGGAGAAAGCTAGGGGCAGCCAAAACAAAACACGGCAGAAATACATGAAATCACTGACAAGTGGACTGAGTCATGTTGGTAGGCTACCTGGTTGGGATCCGTGAGACGAAAGTCACCTATCGTGAGAAACCACGAACAAAATGGCTCATCACAGTTTGCAGTGGCAAACACCAACAAACAATCACCGTGTTGTCATCATCATCTGATGGAGAATTACATTGGTTCTCACTTAATTATGACATGCTTGAACGAGTCACGTTCCGTTCTGGGATGAATTCGAAGTAAATCTGTCTACAATCGATGCACTGAAAAGTATCCGTCGAAATTCTGAACACATGTAAATCATATGAAATAAGAAACAGGCCTAGATAGATGACGATAATCGTGAATCTAGATTCTGTGAAATTAAACCTTTTTCAAATATTTCAATCTCGTTTCAAATCGATTTGATTGCTGATTTTCATGTTTCATTATTGACTACTTGTTGTGATGGGTTGGTCCACGAATCAAAGTAAATCGTCCACAGAACTTGATGATCTGAATGAATTTTTGACGAAACTATACGAAGCAGATGAAAATGCATTTCGACCAGGTATAGATTACAAACTCAATTTACAAGGTACTTTCCTGATTTTGTCATCATATAATAAATATTGTTGCAACAAGTCAGATGGTATATTCCATGTGACATATAGTATTGTTGTTTGTTTCACCAATTCATCAGCTATATATTTTGTGTTTATTATAGAGAAATGAGTAATGGGAGCCAGTATTTTTGTCGAACCTGAATGAAATGTGTTTCCTTAATTGCAAGTACCATCAGGTTGTGTATTTTCATTTCCACAACAAATGGATTAGTTCTCCCGGTCTTCCACAATTTACGAACACGTCATCTACCCATATTAATGGTTGCACTGGTTGTCAGAAAAGAGATCAGTTATATGACTTCTGACGAAAATCAGCCTTCACCATGTTATGGCATAACTTATCAAAATGAAGACTCATTAAGTAATCGTCCAGAGTTTATTTGGTTTGAATAATGGTTTGTTGAGTGACTTATTTGCAAGGTTGTTTTCTACACCTACGGGTTGTTAACCAAACGGCGTTCAAGTCAATAGTTTCGCACTGACTATTTGAAGAACACTGACTATGTGAAATATGATCACCAGTAATATCACGACATCTGTACACGGGTGATTAATTCATGCATTGATATGATCAAGTGAATAACATAACCTCACACTTTAGTAAATTCTAGAAGGGCATTTCACGGGACATTGTTTTCAAAATCCAGATATCGAAGTTACTCACTGCAAATATGAATGAGAAGTTCAGTTAACATTCATATATTGCTATCATAAATCATCGACTCATTATCGATATAATGCACGGTGTTGGGGGTGTTAGATCCACAGAACTCACTTGATAAACGCCTTATTTTGGATTTCACGTTTGTGAGCATGGGCTGATCTTGAGATTTCATTTCCCACCATGAAAATCCATGGCTGTGATTGGCTGCTGTGTATTTCAGTATGCTATTTTCGTAACTGTCCCAAGCATATTTCTATGATGTATAAATAAACGAGATTTGTGAACTTGAATGCTGGGTGTTTGTATAATATACTTTCTACGCTTACAAAGACTTCTGTCTACGGCTTGGGATTCAAGGTAGCATATCTGGACGCTGGTAATTGTCTCGTTCGCTTTTTATCTACTAAGGTGATTTCGTAATAGCTTTAAGCATACCTAGTGACGAACATAACACACAGTTTATTGATTATGTTCAATATTGAAGTAAACTAGGAGATTTAACAATAAATCATCAAATGTTTAATCTTTCTATCATCATTCAGACTTTTAGTGTCTCTATGTCTGACCAAATTGTGAATGCCTATTGGTGTCAGTAACTCCGCCAGTAGAACTTTCGGATCTACTGCCGGTCCGAAGCCCGGTTAAAGGAGGAGGGTTGGACATGGGGTTGGCGACCCCATTCCGTCAAAAATTAACTCGCCAAAAAAACGCTAGCCAGAAAAACTAATTCAAACTATTTCATCTCTGCCCTGGCAGTTGGAAGAAGAATTATGACGTCGCGTGATGAAAGCCCAGTTCCTTCGGAAGTCACGGGGTCGATGCCTCTTCTGACAACCAGAGCAACCATTTATTTAGGTACATGGTACGTCCGTACGTTGTAGCGGAGTGGAGGACTATTTCAAGTTGCGGCAGAAATGAAAAGATACAACCTCGAGGTGCTCGGTATCAGTATCCGATACAGATGTGAGGGCGCGGATTGGCAAAGCAAGGGCTGCATTTCTACAGATGAAAAACTTCTGGAACTCCATAAAACTTTCAACCAAAACCAAAATGTCAAGACAGTTCTATTGTATGGAGCGGAAACCGGGAGAACTACGGAAGCCATCATCCAGAAGATACAAGTGTTTATTATCAGTTGTCTACGCAAAATACTTCGGATTCGTTGGCCAGACAACATCAGCAACAACGTACTGTGGGAGAGAACAAACCAGATTCCAGTAGAGGAGGAAATCAGCAAGAATTGGTGGAAGCGGATAGGACACACACTTCGGAAGGCACCTAACTGTGTCACAAGACAAGCCCTTACTTGGAACTCTGAAAGCAAAAGGAAAAGAGGAAGGCCAAGGAACACACTACGCCGAGAAATAGAGAAATATGTGACAAGAATGAACAAACATTGGACAGAACTGGAGAGGGAAGCCCAGGACAGAGTTGGTTGGAGAAAACTGTTGGATGGCCTATGCTCCATTGGGGTTAACAGGCGTAAGTATGTAAGTAGATATTGGTGTCAGTGTGTGGTGGGAGGACACTAATGAACACTGATAAATTGTAGACGCATGTACATTACTCAGAACTATAATAACTGCGTAACTATCGTATTTATTGCTAGTCAACATATCAAATAATAGAATTACATGGTTTCTACTGTGAGGAATTATGCGAGTAGTTAACTAAGTTGTTGAATGAATTTTCGATTTCGAAAGAATTTGTGATTTCGATAGTAGAAGATAATTGTAATCTAAAAATTTATTTTGATCTAATTTGTCTGAAAATTTAAGAATGTGAATAATGAGTTGTATTTTTCGGAACTTGAAAGTGTTTACAATGTATTACAACTGATAAGTCTTTTGACAAATAAGTAATCTAACACGAATAACAAGCAAACCAAGATATTCAGAATATACTGTACTTGTTTATCTGAGAATCATTGTCACTGACCGATTCAGAGTAGTCACATGTTTTTTATGAAAGTGGAAGTGGTACTGAGTTAAATACTAAGTAGAACTTATCAATAGACATCAATTGATTATGACCACTTAACTGACTGATTTTGGTTTTCCTACTTTAATTAGCACATCTGAACGGCGCCAATTCGTTCATTGACCTGTCGCCCGATCCATTGTTCGAGTTTGTCGATGAAAGTCTATTCCAGAACAGACCAACATTTACAAGTAAGATATTTCTTTCATTATTGTATTATATAGATCTTTTGTGACTGTTTAACTGCTGTGACAAAATTTTATGACAATATGGTCCACTGCCAAACAGTGGATCGAATCCGTGTTAATGAGATCACAATTATAATTCACTTCACTGAGTTGTGACACAATAATAGGCTGAATAGCAGACAATTAATTCATCCAACACTTCCGATTATCGGATTTCGAAAGAACGCTGCAATTTAAAATGCCATGATGCTGTGGATAAAAAAGTCATATTTCACAAAGTTATGATGAACTTGGTTGATTGTTACAATCGGAAACCTCCCGAACAAGAGGAACAGTTTGTAGTTGCAGTCTGTTCATAATTCAAATCTTTCATCAACAAGTTTCTAATTGGTTAGAATATAGAAATAACAGAGCAGTTAAATCTCAGTTGCATAATATATTCGAAAGCTTGATGTTAACACTATTTTACTCCTTATTACAATTTGATCTTATCCATAATACATACACAATAATTTATGTTCTCCTTAAGCATCGTTTCACTGATGGTCTATTTTCAAATACACATTACACCTGATCAATTCTAACACGAAATGTAGAAATGTAAATAAGCAGTAATAAACACACAAAATGAACAGATATTTTATATTGAGAAATGTTAGTTTGCTACACCTTATGTGATAAGAACAATGAGTTTCGGAATCCACCGATATAATTATGCTCACGTAACATATCTTAGATGGCTTCAGATGAACACTTGAATCATTCTAGAAACTGGGTGAAGATTGACATTGAATGATCAATCATTAGATCACGAATACGAACATTGAATGTTTGCGATAAAATGTATCATTAAATTATTTAAAAATCCTTTGTAATCAGATGGATGTTATGGATTTTTTCTAACCATAATATACCAAGACGTATCAATGAGTCTGGAGGATATTTGAAGTTCTCGTGGTTCAAATGATATAAACGTAGCGCGTAAGTTTAGAGTTGTTGGACGTAGATTGATTAATTGAGAGATAGAAAGTCAATAAATCGATCAAATGAGTTGGCTAGCCATGATGAATTGAGAACTGGTCACAAATTAGAGTTTAGTAATCTATTTCACAACCTGATAATGTCTTATTTCATTAAGGATGCATCGTCTGATTTACGGTGTCGGTCTTAGATGATCGAGTGCAGAAACTGTCTGTAATGTATTTCGTGCATTTTCGCACTCATCTGCCACTCGTACCTTTAATTGTGAGCAAACTGATACTACCTTACGATTTCCATACCACATCACTTATACGTTGTATAGACCAAATGTATAAATGTCTCTGATGTACTAAATCATACGTTAATCAAGGGAATGATGTCACCCATTCTTCAGAAGCGTAGTGACAGTCCTAAATTTTATTTACTATATCGATGGGCGTCACTGATTGTCTTTTCACACAGACACATCACAAAACGTGTCCCTTCATATGTAGATTAGAGAAAAACGGAAACTATCTTACGAGTGTCAGGTTTAATTTCGAAACTTTTCGCAAACTTTGAAGGAAGTTCCGACTCTGATTCACTCAACACAGTCACAAGTTCCGACTTTACTCTTTGAAATACTGAGGCATTTCGTTTATTGCTTGTATCATAAAACATGTGTTGTATGACGTTTGCTTCTCACTGCAAATGCATCATTCTGATAACCACGTTCATTCAATATACATGTCCTGCGATGTACATAGTCTGGTGTAGCATTATATGATAAATCATACCAATAATTAAACAGATTTCAGATGATTGAAGCTTGAATTTGAAATTATATTTACACTGTAGAGTTCATTGCACTACTGGACAACTACAATCCACAAGTTGGTGTCACTGAAAAACCCACAGAACAACAACTGAGAGAAGAGGATGATTTTATCAAAGAATTACTGAAGACGAAAATAATGAAAATGACTCACGAATTTCTTGTTAGAAGAGGAAAAAGAAATATGATTGGAGATTACAAACATTTTGGAGAATACTTGAAGGAGGTGTGGTTCAAACGATATAACCGTGGCGCGTAAGTTTGGTGTTATAAGACGTATACTGATAAATTTAGAGAGAGGGAGAATGTTACCAACTTGATCAGATGAGTTGGCTCGACATGATGAAGTGAGCACTGGTCACAAATTTGAGTTTAGCAACCTCTTTCACTACTTGGTATTGTCTTATCAAACACTATTAACAAACATAGCTGTATATCACTTTTCAGTCACTAATTTCTACCTAATCGAATCAAAGACCCACATGTTACGCGAACGTGATGTGTCACTGGAAGTTCAAAAGTTAGATGAGAGTTGAAATCGAAAAGTTTCTCAGATTCATGAGATTTCCAATGGTCATGATTTCGGTATGGATGTGAATCTGTATTCAAATTTATTTCTCTCATACACTGGGAAACTAAGCTTATTCAGACGGTATTTCTTGAATTCATTTTCAACATGAGATTGAGTTAGAGCATCTGAATTTGATGTGAATAGCACTCTCATGATGTCTGAACTCCACAGATTGTATTTGAAAACGATGAGTTATTTTCAAATAACATTTTCAACGGAATATCCTTTACAGCACTATCAGAAAACACAAAGTATGCAGAAAATTTCTGATTGGAACTGGAATCTCTGTATCAGCGTAGACTAGTTAGCATCAAATCCGAACAATCCTATGTATGCAGGGCGTTTGTAAACATGAAGACGAGTTTCAGCTTTCTGTGCTGAAACAGATTATTTGAAATGTTGTTTATTCAGGGATATTCCCATGTGTTCAGTGTTAACTGGTTGATGAGGTCAGAAAATATTCCAGTTACCATTGTTTCATTGATTGTCACATGATCACAATAATTTTTTGTGTATGCTGTGGTTGATTCGATTCAGTTTTCCAAAACGTAGTTGCTGATTTCAGTGTGTGTTTATCTGATGCAAAATGATTATAATATTCGAGCAATTCATACTGATGCAATACGAGAATAGATCTCACTTACATGAATCTTTGCTAGTTTAGTCAATAGATAGCTTCGAAACATTACGACATTGGTGGAATTCAACATGCCCTTTCAAACTACTCAGCAATGGCAGTTGATTTGAAAATCAGTGGCATTGAAAGTGAATGTATGCTCATCTTAACTACCTCAAATTACCGTTCTCTGTCGTAGGACATTTTAATGCTCACTGTTTTAAACGTTTACATTTCTGAGCTAATCAAGTCTTGTTTTACATCTGACTGTGTTTACTTAAAGCTTGATTAGTACAGAGTATGAAGGAAGCGAAAATTGTGTTTGTCATAGTTTGTCAACAATACTCATTTGTCAGAAATATATTGTTCAACAGAAAACTCTTCTTGTATTTGAGTTGTTGTCTCAGTGCTTTCATTAAGACCATTGGAATAGTCCATTGTGGTTCACGACAAACGATGGAATTTATGGATAGACAATAAACATTTTCATTTATTGTGTGTTCTCTTTTCATTAGCAGGTGATTAATTTTCAGCTTGTTAATTTGAAATGCGTATCATTATAAACAAACTTATGCACACTAACATTTGTCATATATCATTCTTAGGTGACAAAGAGATAACATATTTACTGTTTCCACATTCGACTAGTTTGGATTAGTAGTAATTGATCAGTCTGAGTAGATATTCATTTGAGTAGTAACCAGAAATTATTTTCTACCTTGGTATATTCACTTTATGTTTATGAATTGTTTACATTTTATGGTCTTTGAACTCTCCGTGCAACGAATGGTGATGAAATCCTGTTGAAACACCAATTAATCAATGAAACAATGCAATGAATAATGTGCAGTTTTGAAGATTCATCTGCTTTCGAACATGTGTTTGTTGGCGAACATAAGACTACGAAAATGCTTGGATTACATAACTGGATTCAATTTTATTTGAAAGAAAAGAAGAATGATATAAATTATTTTGGATGGAAGAAGAATGTAAGATGTTTTTGGATCATTTGGTATTTGTGTATATATTTCATTACTTGCATTCGCGTGAATTCACCTGGTAACCCTCATGGAGCATATGACGCTGCCCATGATTCTCTGAACTACTCCTTCCTCCTCTCTATTCGCGTATTGTTTCTAAGTGTAATTTATCCGGTTGGTGTTTTTCAGCGATTCTCGTGAGACTATGTTGTTTGCTTTATCTCTTTTATTTTTCCTTTAAGGATTCCGTGTGCTTTTACGGGTTTGTGCGCAGATGTTACTTCCTCTCCCTGTTATGTGGGTATATGTTGGAAGAAAGCTAGGGGCAGGCAAGCCTAAACAAGGCACAAATCAAAGAAGTCACTGACAGCAGGAATGAGTCACGTTCTAGGTGTTGATTACCTGTTTGGGGCCTGCGAGTTAATAGCGATCGATGGTTAGAGAATCTAAATGAAATATCTCAAAGCTGTTTGCAATGGATCAGGTGCATTCATTCTTTGTGTTCCCTTAAATACTAACCTTCTAATTTATTCATCATCTTTGTCTTTTACTTTCAAGTTTGTTTCACTAATTTTTACTTCTTGGATGATATCTTCGAACCCTGAAATTTTCAACTCCTGCTAATACTTCTGATAATTCTACTACTATGATATTTGAAGTGACAATTGCATCTCTGTGGTAATGTGGTATGGCAACTTGAAGTGATGTGCGCACGTACGAAGTTCTCCGTTGCTGTAGACTGACAGACATAAGGATGTATGTATATATGAGAAACAGAAAAGGAAAGGAGCATGTATTCTAAAAGGAATATTTAGTGATATGCCCACTCCATGTATATTAAAACCTTAATACACCAACGCAAATTTTATAATATCGAAGCCCTACAATCGACTATTAAAAGGGTCTTCACAGCTCTACGTAATGTTGAAAACTGTTTCCTACAAATTCCAGTTGATAGATGGTAGGAATAACTAGTGACAAGTTTAGTAGAAATCGATGTTCGAAACCACTTAAAACTCGTTCATGAAATGAAACACTTGTGAAATTAACAAACGAACTTGTGTTGTGTGAAGACAAACAACTTATTCTCTATTTTACTAACGTAAAACCAAGACACAGAATCGCTGTTGGACCATTTCTTTTATGGAGATCGGTCAATGAATGAACCACGACCAACTTTTACTTTCATCAGTTGTTAGTCAATATTTAAAACGTTTCTGTATTAATTTGACAATGACGTTTGACTTTTGCTCTTGTGTGTTTATGGAACATTTTTCACTGCAGTCATGTAATGAACACCTCATCAGTGTAACATATGTCGATGAAAATAAATTTAAGAAACCGATCGGGACCATTTTCATTGGATCTTCTCCGGAATTCGACATTGCTGTTTATACTGTTATTAATGTACTTAGCCAATCATTTGAAACTGATGTACGAATAGGCGAATGTAAAGTACGTTTCATTTGTCATAAGTTGGAAAACAATCAAATGGGTACATGTCACATGGAATAAATAAACATGACGAAGAGAAAGAGAGTGAAATTATTCATTAAATATTAAAAAAGCGTATTGTTCTACAACAATATTAATTGTATAAAACATTTCAAATTATTGTGAATTCATTTTGATACTGTATGTGAGAGAAATAGTGTTGAATAATATAACAGAATGTATAACTTTAATTAGAGTTATGGAGATTGTTATTTTCTACTAACCTTGTTAATCGAAAGTTGTTAGAAACCGAATAGAAAACTGGAACCACTGTTCGGTTTTTTCAGGTGTAGTGTTAAATTAAATAAATTGGTCGCTAATTCGGAGGAAGTAAGGACCATCTTGCTTGATGTGTGTAAAGAAGAGTCTTAGATAGAAATGTCAACAATTTACAATGTCACACATTGAACCCTAGGTGCAGAATTGGATTTCAAATCGGGTATATTTAAATTTCACTTTGATGCACTGGAAATGCCTTTGACGATGAGAGGGATTCTATCTGTTGGTTGGTCCCTGTTTGATCCTTTGTGTCCAACTGCTCCAGTCTACCTTACTGCGAAACTTCTCTTGCAAAAATTATGTAAATCCTTAATAGGTTGGGATTCATTTTGATACTGTATGTGAGAGAAATAGTGTTGAATAATATAACAGAATGTATAACTTTAATTAGAGTTATGGAGATTGTTATTTTCTACTAACCTTGTTAATCGAAAGTTGTTAGACACCGAATAGAAAACTGGAATCACTGTTCAGAATTTTCAAATATAGGCAGAAATAACCAAGACAAATGCAGAATGAGTTGAAACTCCCTAAAACATATTGTATTTCAAATCGGGTATATTTAAATTTCACTTTGATGCACTGGAAATGCCTTTGACGATGAGAGGGATTCTATCTGTTGGTTGGTCCCTGTTTGATCCTTTGTGTCCAACTGCTCCAGTCTACCTTACTGCGAAACTTCTCTTGCAAAAATTATGTAAATCCTTAATAGGTTGGGATTCATTTTGATACTGTATGTGAGAGAAATAGTGTTGAATAATATAACAGAATGTATAACTTTAATTAGAGTTATGGAGATTGTTATTTTCTACTAACCTTGTTAATCGAAAGTTGTTAGACACCGAATAGAAAACTGGAATCACTGTTCAGAATTTTCAAATATAGGCAGAAATAACAAAGACAAATGGAGGATTATTCGTAAATTCCTAAAGGATTGATCAACAGATTATCACTTGATTTGCTTACATTTTCTGTGAAATATTATCTAGATAATTTGTCTTGTGGCAGTTAGAAATCTGCACATCCACTTCTCAAATTATCACACTTTCAAAATCTCATTAACACAGTTGCATTTTCTGTGAATACACAGATAGGATTGATCGTATTCTCTCAAAACCTATGAAATCCGAGCAATGTAAGTCAGCGAATAGAACTAGATTCGTTAGGCTGTTCATCAGTATCTATGAGAATAGATACGTTTTTATGAACTAACTGTATGCTCAATAAAATATTAACAAACATACACAACAAACTATCTGTTGATTAAAAGTTTCGAGATTGTTCAATAATATCTGAGCGTGTGTGTAGAAGTTGAAGACGGCCTGAATCATTCTGTCTTATAAGATATACAAATGCATTTAGTGGACTATTTGTTAGATGGTGCAGTGAAGGCTAACAATCTGAGATCGACTTATTGAATTGTTTGTGTGCAATAACTGAAGTTTTCCACTCACATTTGTTTCACTTGATGAACAAAGAATGTGCGTGGTACTTTGATCGCAGTGTTCAATGTATTTGAATGGAATTTTCGCTACGATGCAGTACAACCGAAATATTTTGAATCTTCATTTAGAAAAGTTAGGGCAGTTCATAGTGAAGGCTGATTTTCGTCAGAAGTCATATAACTGATCTCTTTTCTGACAATAGTGCAACAATTATTATAGGAAGATGACGAGTTCGCAAAATGCGGAAGACCGGAGGAACCATTCAACTTGTTTCGCAAAGATAATACACAACCTGGTGGTACGTGGAATTAGGGAAACACATTTCATTCAGGTTCGACAAAAAGACTAGATTTCAGTGTTCATTTCAGTATAATCGGCACAGAATACATAGCTAATGAATTGGTGAAACAAACAACAATACTATATGTCACATGGAATATACCATCTGACTTGTTGCAAAAGTATTAATTACATGAACACAGAATAAGGAAAATTACCTTGTAAATTGAGTTTTTAATCTATACCTGGTCGAAATGCATTTTCATCTGCTTCGTACAGTTTCGTCAAAAATTCACTCAACTCATCAAGTTCTGTGGACGATTTACTTTGATTCGTGGACCAACCCATCACAACAAGTAGTCAATAATGAAACATGAAAATCAGCAATCAAATCGATTTGAAACGAGATTGAAATATTTGAAAAAGGTTTAATTTCACAGAATCTAGATTCACGATTATCGTCATCTATCAAGGCCTATTTCTTATTTCTTATTTCAGATGATTTACATGTGTTCAGAATTTCAACGGATACTTTTCAGTGCATCGATTGTAGACAGATGTACTTCGAATTCATCCCATAACGGATTGTGACTCGTAGGTGTTTGATGGAAAATCCTGTCTTAAATATTCACATTATTGGATATTCATATTACGTACAGACATCACTAAATCAATATATGGCGGTCAAATAATGCCGTCAATTTATCGAATTCAAAGTACAATCTACATATATATTTATATATCTATCTATCTATATCGGCAGAGCAGTACAACACAGAACTTCGTACTTAAGTACATCAGTTCAAGTTGCCATACCACATTAGCACAGAGACGTAGCTGTCAGTTCAAATCACATAGTGGTAGAGATAGTAGAAGTAATAACAGTAATGAAGAAGATTAGGTTTCGAAGATATGATTCAAGAAGTATAGTTCAGTGAGATAAATTTAGAAGGAGGAAGATGGTGATGATGAGAAATTCAGAAGGCTAGAATTTGAGAGCACACAAAGTGTGGAGCCACCCTCGTCACTGCAAACGGTTTTGAGCCATATCGTTCAAGGTCTCTAACCATTGGTGGCTTTTGTCTCACGTACCACATCCAGGTAGGCTACATCTACCAACATGACTCAGTTCACTTGTCAGTGATTTCATATATTTCTGCGGTGTTTTGTTTTGGCCGCCCCTAGCTTTCTTCCAACCTACTCCTACTCCACAAAGCATAGCTCGTCAATGCAGTCAGCCAACGGAGTCGAATGCCTTTTTGAGCCTAAGATAAACTACCTCTGTATATATATATATATATATATATAATTTGGTCAATTAACTGTATACATATGTTCGCACAGAGAGATATCTAACCACTTAACACTGAAGCACATTTCGTTCAATTGAAAGATATTGTCGTCTGCACTACTACTTCCGATAGGCTTAAATATTTTGGTTTAACGTGAACGTAAAATCTTCCAACTTAATCACGAGAATAAAGTCACAATCTCACATCACCTTTTTCATATTACAGCACCATACATTTCTAACTGATAATTCAACAACTACTTTTCAAAATCCAATTTTCTGTCTTCATCTGAGACTGTTTATACACGTCCTATTTCATAACTTGTTTTCTCGTTTGTAGGTTAGCTGGTGTACGGAATTCGGCGTAAACCTCCGGCAGGTCACACACCTTGCTATGGCTCTCCCAACCGTGCTGGTATCCTTTACTATCCAATCATGGCAAGCACTTGAGATGTTCCTGTGTACCCTTATTCCTTGTGATGATATTGAATAATCGTTTCTGTCACTGAGTGTCGGCTGGGTAGAACTATTGCATTTTTAAATCCGAGTAGGTTGAACGACTTCCAACACAGAGTTACGCATCAAGCATTATCGGCGATAAGCCCGCAGATCATTACGACTAGCTACCTTACTGTTGTTCTTAAATTCACCAAGTAACTCTGCATTAAACCCCTTTTTGGACGATCACTAAAACCTTTCACTTGGCCGTTTCAAGCTCCCTAAACTTTAGGCATCCTAGATGAACGGAACCGTCATGTCTCGGTGGACGAAGTACCGTCAGGAAATCTGTGAACCTTCTAAACCAAGCTACAGCTCTGAATAGATTTATCCACACCAAGTAAATAGAAAGAATATGCGACTGGTTATGTTCCACACTACTCAAGTTGACCACAGCAGTTTATCTAAAATCAATTTTGTAAGGAGTAGATTCTTGACAGTCAGTGGTAATTTCACCGAATTCTCCATGCATCAAAGTAGGACATTTAAATCAAGATTCAAGATTGGTCATTTTTCAAATACTCCAGGAAGTCCAGTCATTTGAGTTCTGTGACGAATTTACATGACTCCATTGTCCAACCTTCGTATCCTGGTGCATAATGGCGAGACGATTAACTATATAGCTCGTATACCGGTTTTTAGTGTTCTTAACTTATTACAAAGCTATCATGGAATCTGTTTGGAAGTTCATTTCGTACAAAATATTACGTAGGCTCCTTTGTAAGACTTCAATTAACCTTACACTTAAAATCGCCGCCGCCATCTCATGCCTCGGTAAAGCAACTTGTTTAATAGGTGCTACCCTAGACTTACTGTACAAAAAGATATAGTATGGTGGTGCCTTCACATAACTAACTCGCGCGTAAGCAAGCGCTCCATAGCCAATTTCCGAGGCATCGCTGAGCAAATGTAAATCTACTTTTGCATTTGGTTGGTCGATTCCTTTTCTGACCCCTCGAACTAACGTAACATAACCTATCTGATGCATAAAATCCAGCAAATTTAGCCACGCGAACACATGGCTCGTTGAAAGAGCCGATCCCATCCTATTTAGGATTTACATAATTTTTGCAAGAGAAGTTTCGCAGTAAGGTAGACTGGAGCAGTTGGACACAAAGGATCAAACAGGGACCAACCAACAGATAGAATCTCTCTCATCGTCAAAGGCATTTCCAGTGCATCAAAGTGAAATTTAAATATACCCGATTTGAAATACAATATGTTTTAGGGAGTTTCAACTCATTCTGCATTTGTCTTGGTTATTTCTGCCTATATTTGAAAATTCTGAACAGTGATTCCAGTTTTCTATTCGGTGTCTAACAACTTTCGATTAACAAGGTTAGTAGAAAATAACAATCTCCATAACTCTAATTAAAGTTATACATTCTGTTATATTATTCAACACTATTTCTCTCACATACAGTATCAAAATGAATCCCAACCTATTAAGGATTTACATAATTTTTGCAAGAGAAGTTTCGCAGTAAGGTAGACTGGAGCAGTTGGACACAAAGGATCAAACAGGGACCAACCAACAGATAGAATCCCTCTCATCGTCAAAGGCATTTCCAGTGCATCAAAGTGAAATTTAAATATACCCGATTTGAAATACAATATGTTTTAGGGAGTTTCAACTCATTCTGCATTTGTCTTGGTTATTTCTGCCTATATCTGAAAATTCTGAACAGTGGTTCCAGTTTTCTATTCGATGTCTAACAACTTTCGATTAACAAGGTTAGTAGAAAATAACAATCTCCATAACTCTAATTAAAGTTATACATTCTGTTATATTATTCAACACTATTTCTCTCACATACAGTATCAAAATGAATTCACAATAATTTGAAATGTTTTATACAATTAATATTGTTGTAGAACAATACGCTTTTTTAATATTTAATGAATAATTTCACTCTCTTTCTCTTCGTCATGTTTATTTATTCCATGTGACATGTACCCATTTGATTGTTTTCCAACTTATGACAAATGAAACGTACTTTACATTCGCCTATTCGTACATCAGTTTCAAATGATTGGCTAAGTACATTAATAACAGTATAAACAGCAATGTCGAATTCCGGAGAAGATCCAATGAAAATGGTCCCGATCGGTTTCTTAAATTTATTTTCATCGACATATGTTACACTGATGAGGTGTTCATTACATGACTGCAGTGAAAAATGTTCCATAAACACACAAGAGCAAAAGTCAAACGTCATTGTCAAATTAATACAGAAACGTTTTAAATATTGACTAACAACTGATGGAAGTAAAAGTTGGTCGTGGTTCATTCATTGACCGATCTCCATAAAAGAAATGGTCCAACAGCGATTCTGTGTCTTGGTTTTACGTTAGTAAAATAGAGAATAAGTTGTTTGTCTTCACACAACACAAGTTCGTTTGTTAATTTCACAAGTGTGTCATTCCATGAACGAGTTTTAAGTGATTTCGAACATCGATTTCTACTAAACTTGTCACTAGTTATTCCTACCATCTATCAACTGGAATTTGTAGGAAACAGTTTTCAACATTACGTAGAGCTGTGAAGACCCTTTTAATAGTCGATTGTGATGCTCTGACATTATAAAATTTACGTTCGTATATTCTCATAGCATTCTACATAATGTGTTACGCCTTACTTGACGAATCTCTTTATTTATTGCGAACAGTGATAGATATAAACTTGATCGGGAACGAAAATAGGTTTACTGCTGGTCCTAAGTCAAGATCGGAAATGAGGTGAGCAGGTCATTCCTGTAAGAGCAACTTTGCAAAAATACGCTAAACTAAACAGTTATTCGAATATTTTAAGCTCTGAATTGCCAGTTTAAGAGTGTTCGTTTAGAAAAGTTACCAAACTGAGTTTCTCTGGTAGTGGCGAGGCTGACGACCATTCTCACAATGAGAGCGACAATCATTGTAGGTATATTAAGTGTTTGCGAAAGGTGGAAGACACGGAGAACTATTTCAGTTTTAGCGTCAATGAAAATGCACAACCTGATGGTACTTAACTCCGCCTGTAGAGCCTTCGGAGCTACTGCCGTTCAAAAGCTAGGATAAGGGAGGAGGGGTTTGTGCATGGAGTTGGCTCAACATACACAAGGATTTGCCTTGATGCTGTCCAAACATGCACAAAAGGCACTGATAGGTTGGGAATCTCATGGACCCAGGATCATTAAAGCATCCTTCAAAACAAAGAAAGCGGACATGACAATGAACGTCATCCAATGTTATGCACCTACCAACGACTACAATGATGACGGTAAAGATCAATTCTACGAAAGGCTGCAGTCAATCGTCGAGAAATGTTCACCAAAGGATTTGACGATTCTTATGCGAGACTTGAATACCAAGGTTGGAATGGACAACACTGGATATGAAGACATCATGGGACGACATGGACTGGGAGAAAGGAACGAAAACGGTGAGAGATTTGCAAACCTGTGCGCCTTCAACAAACTGGTCATCGGTGGCACAATATTCCCGCACAAACGCATTCACAAAGCCACATGGATTTCACCGGATCACACTACTCAGAACCAAATCGACCATATCTGTATCAACAAAACGTTCAGAAGGACCATGGAGGATGTGAGAACTAAGAAGGGAGCTGATACAGCTTCAGATCACCACTTGCTGCTCGCTAAAACGAAACTGGAACTAAAGAAGCACTGGACAACGGGGCAGACAACATCACACAAGTTTAATACAGCCTTTCTTCGGGATACCGTAAAACTCAACGAATTCAAGATAGCCCTCACCAATAGGTTCCAGGCCTTTCAGGATCTACTCAATGGAGAGGAAGCAACATTGGAGAACAATTGTAAGAGAATCAAGGAGGCAATCACTTCAACATGTCACGAAGTTCTGGGTCACAAGAAGTACCATCACAAGGATTGGATCTCTGTTGATACTCTTGCAAAAATTGAAGAAAGGAGGAACAAGAAGGCAGCAATCAATGTCAGGCGAACAAGAGCGAAGAAAGTTAACGCACAAGCTGCATACGCAGAAGCAAACAGGGAAGTGAAGAAGAGAATCAGAGCTGACAAACGAAAATCTGTGGAAGATCTAACAATGACAGCGGAATAGGCTGCAAGAGAAGGAAACATGAGACAATTGTACGAAACAACAAAGAAGCTAGCCGGGAACTATCGTAAACCAGAACGACCAGTGAAAAGCAAGGAAGGCAAAGTAATCAGCAACACTGAACAACAGCGAAAAAGGTGAGTAGGGCACTTTCAGGAACTATTGAATCTACCAGCTCCACTGAACACACCCAACATCGAAGCAGCATCCTAATTGATGTTGGCACACTTACGATTGAGGAGATCAGTATGGTCATCAGTCGAATCAAGAGCGGCAAAGTAGCAGGACCAGACAATATTCCAGCAGAGGCAATGAAAGCAGATGTAGAAACAACTGCGAAAATATTTCACATACTCTTCAAGAAGATTTGGGATGAGGAACAAGTACCATCAGATTGGAAAGAAGGATACCTCATCAAAATACCAAAGAAAGGCGACCTGAGCAAGCGTGAGAACTACAGAGGCATCACTCTGCTCTCAATTCCAGGCAAAGTCTTCAACAGGGTATTATTAAACAAAATGAAGGACTTCGTAGACGCCGAACTTCCAGATCAACAGGCCGGATTTCGTAAGGATCGATCGTGTACTGACCAAATTGCAACATTACTGATCATTGTGGAACAATCAATTGAATGGAACTCACCACTCTACATCAACTTCATCGACTACGAGAAAGCATTCGACAGCGTGGACAGGACAATACTATGGCGTGCCTGAGAAGATAATCAACATCATACGGAATTCTTATGATGGATTCAACTGCAAAATCGTACACGTAGGACAGCTAACAGACTCTTTCGAGGTGAAGACCGGGGGCTTCTTCGACACTACGGTGTGCCTGAGAAGATAGTCAGTCAGTCAGTCAGATGCAACGTAGAACTTGGTACGTAAGTACATCAGTTCAGGTTGCCATTCCACATCAGCACAGAGATATAATTGTCAATTCAAATCCAATAGTAGTAGAGGTAGTAAAAGTATTAGAAGTAATCGGAGAGGTTAGGGTTAGAAGATACTATTCAAGAAGTATGATTCAGTGAGAAAAGTTTAGAAAGTCGAAACTAGAGGTGTTGAAGAATCCAGAAGATTAGGGTTCGAGAGAACACACAGAATAAATGCACCGGCGCCATTGCGAACGATTTTGAGCCATGTCATTCAAGGTCTCTAACCATCGATTATTATTATCTCGCGGACCCCAACCAGGTAGTCGACAATTACCGACATGGCTCAGTCCACCAGTCAATGACTTCATGGATTTCTGCCATGTTTTGGTTTGGCCACACCTAACTTTCTTCCAACATCATACGGAATTCTTATGACGGATTCAACTGCAATATCGTACACGAACGACAGCTAACAGACTCTTTCGAGTCGAAGACCGGTGTCAGGCAAGGTTGCTTACTCTCACCCTTTCTCTTTCTCCTGGTCATCGACTGGATTATGAAGACGTCGACATCTGAAGAGAAGCACGGTATCAACTGGACAGTTAGGACGCAGCTGGACGATCTGGACTTCGCAGATGACCTGACTCTTCTATCGCACACGCAACAGCAAATGCAAGAGAAGACGACCAGTGTAGCAGCAGCCTCCGCAGCAGCAGTAGGTCTCAACATACATAAAGGTAATAGCACGATTCTCCGATGCAACACAACATGCGATCACCAAATCACTCTTGATGAAGACACCTTGGAGAACGGAAAACCCTTTACATATCTGGGCAGCATCATTAACAATCAAGGTGGATCGGATGCAGATGTGAGGTCGCGGATTGGCAAAGCAAGGTCTGCATTTCTACGGTTGAAAAATATCTGGAACTACAAACAACTTTCAACCAAAACCAAAATCAGGACTTTTAATAAAAATCTCAAGACAGTTCTACTGTATGAAGCGGAAACATGGAGAACTACGAAAGGCATCATCCAGAGGATACAAGTGTTTATTAACAGTTGTTTACGCAAAATACTTCTGATTCGTTGACCAGACAACATCAGCAACAACGTACTGTGGGAAAAAACAAACCAGATTGTAGTGGAGAAGGAAATCAGGAAGAAGTGGTGGAAGTGGATAGGACACACATTGCGGAAAGCACCTATCTGCGTCACAAGACAAGCCCTTACTTGGAACTCTGAAGGCAAAAGGGAAAGAGGAAGGCCAAGTGACACATTACGCCGAGAAATAGAGAAATATGTGACAAGAATGAACAAAAGTTGGACAGAACTGGAGAGGCGGGGCCCAGGACAGATTTAGTTGGAGAGTATGTTCCTATGTTCCATTGGGAGTAACAGGCGTGAATAAGAATAAGTGATAGCATTTGGAATCAGGGGAACACATTACACTCAGGTTGGACAAAAAAGACTAGCTTCAGGAGAAATCTTGTCATAATCTGACCATGAAAACGGTAATGACACATAAACACAAAGATAGAAAGTACTAGTCGGATGGTAATTTCATGGATCCGCGATTATGCAAGTCAGCTTCAGAGAAAGGAATGAGCGGATAACAAGCAACATCATCCAGTGCAATGCTCCTACAAACGATACCAACGAGGACGATAAAGATCAACATTAATAGAGTCTGGATTCAATCTTCGAGAAATACCCAAAAGAGGATTCCACTACACTGATGAGAGATGTTTGCGCCGAAGTCGCATTGGACAACAATGAATAATAAGATTTCATGAGACGTTATGAAATGATACAAAATGAGCGAAGATAGTCAGAGATTCGCAAAAAAAATACCTGCAATCAAACAGTTACAGATCACAACATATTCATACACGAACAGAGCTGCAAGTGTTTCACCGAAATAGTCGACAAACATCAACTAAACGAATTACACTAAGAGTAGAAAGAAGGACGGAGTGGTTTCGAGAATCTTGATCACCAGCATATAATCTACGACGAGAAAAAGAGAAATAACGCAAAATCAAGCAATGAAATATATACATAGACAATAAACGCGCACTCAGAATAGGCAGTGAAAAACACACGATGTTCCAAGACTCGAATCAGCAGTAAATCTGTTTATTGTAGCAAACTCCATGTATAATAACACCTTAATACACCAACGCAAATTTTATAATATAG